AAATTTTGAAATCTGGATCGTGGATCGCAATACCGTCAATAAATATTGACGTTGTAGCACTTTCAAAACGCGATCCATACATTTCTTCAGTTCTTCTTTCTTCTTTTACTCTCATAATGTAAACATCGGCTCTGCCTTCACTCTCGGGGCTTAAAATCTTTCAAAACAAATTGAACAAATCTTAAAATAATTGTGGAATGCATTATCTTTAAATTATACGTACAAAATAAAAATATTTTCTTGCAAATACTGACGCGATAAATATTGAACATGTAGCATTCGTGCGCGATCCATCAATATGGATCGCGATCCAAATATTGTGATAATTACTGACCGTGGGACAGAGCCCTTTGGGTAAGTGTATTATGGGTGATGGCAGCCCTGCACTTAATAAAAGCAATTGGCAATGTTGAACATAGGCGATTTCCATGACGATCACTGTATTTCAGGATTTGCAGGTTTTACAGGTAAAGCGGTTTTCGCCATTAATAAACCTTATGGAAGGTGGCGTACGTTAACCGCTTCCTGTAAAAACCTGCATATCATGAAGTACCTGCAAATCATGAAGTACCTGCAACATACTTATTAAAAAGAGAAACATCGGAATATATCGATGTATCGATAGTTTTAGGGCGATTTTTTTCGGCATCGATGTTAGTGTTTACGATACATCGAAATATCGATGTATCGATGTTGGCTCTGAAAATTTGCATCCCTAGCCTCACTGCGCCTTAAAAGTATGTTTGTGTTGTTTGGTACCCGTATTGTAATATTTCATTTATTTTATCAATTTTATGAAATATTGCTGGCAGAAAACTTTCCTAACCCTCTTCACTTATGTATACAGTGAAAGCTCCCATAAGCGGGACCCGTGGGCACCTACTTTTTGTTCGCCTATGGGAGATGTTCCCTTGGGAATTTTATAAAAAATAACATTAAAATTCTTTTTTTTTTATTCTAGTTTCAAATTAAAATAATATTTTTTTCTTCCCTACCGACAAATCTCATTGCGGAAGAGTCAACATCTGACCGAAAAAAAACACAAAATTGAGCTTTGCGTCCACTTATCGGATATTTTTTTTCATAACTGGAATTTTTTGAGTACCGTGTCCGTTTATCCGAAAGTCCGCGTATGGGAGAGCATTTCATATGGAAAAGAAAACCAAAACTTATTCGTTCCCAAGAATTTTTCCGCTTATAGGAGATGTGCGCTTATTAGGGCGCCCGTCTATGAGAGCTTTGACTGTATACCCATATTGCAATATTCAATTTTCCTGGCAATTAAATTAAATTAAAATTTTCAAACAGGTGGAAACTTTCAACGAAAATATTTGTGGCTGTTAACCTTTTGAAACCTTTTTCTTTTGACATCTATATTGTAATATTTGCTTTATTTTGTCACTTTACTTAAACTGCATATTTCAAACAGGTGGGAACTCTCCAAAATTGTTTTTTTGCCTACCATGTTTTAAACTAGACCTGTAGTAATACATCGGTCAGTTGTGCGCGTACAAACATACGACCAGACGGACAGAATAAAAATTCTAAATTATAAATTCTAAAAAAGGACTTGTTCAATTTTGAGAGCGATCTTCACGGCCATCGGTTAACCCGAGGTCAGAAGGACCCTTTCATTCCAATTTTTTCATCTAGGGTTCGCTGAAATCCCATAAAACCCCATCTGGCCAGAGATAATCCACTTGAAGTAAGTGGAGCTACCATAATTTCCTTACTCGACGACAACTCCTCAAGAATACCCCGACTTGCCAGCTCATCGGCTATGCGGTCATTAAGCTCGAAGAAGTGTCATGCGATCGGAAGTAAGAAGTGAAGCAGGCGTTCCTTTGCGAAGCCAAGAGCCCCAATTTCCGGCTGATTATCAGTGTTATATTTCTATGCTTGAAATACACTGCAGTTATGCGGGCCCCTATATTAGAGATTGATAGAGGGATATTGATAGGGGTATAGATTGATAGGGGGTATAGATTTATTAAACAATAAGTTCGCAGAACAATTTTTGCAGATAATACACCCCACCCTATCCTTCGTGAACGATATGTGGGCGGTGAATGATGCACTCGGACCCAGCGAGCAGGAATTCCGAGATTCCCATAGTTGAAAGTGAAGTCCAAGCTACTTTGCTTAGCTGCGGTGTGGAACAACAGCTTTGTCTGCTATATACAGAGGCGCGATATGTACCACTACTTTAGGTACGAGATTAGGGCTAGTCGGAAGTGTGCCCCTGATTTCAATCAAGGCAGATTTTGCATTCTTTATAGCTGCTTAAAGATTGCGGCCTTGTCCAAAGCACTTTACCACGCAAGAGCACGATACCAAAAAATTGGTTTCATGAAGGTATCACAGAGTCAAAAAAACAAGCTACCCTCGGAGACAAGCGTCAACGCTTGCCAGTGGATACTCTGCAACAATATAAGGCTACTACAGGCGCCTTTTTTACCATTTCTTTTGCTGTTCCATATCCAGTAATCTTTTTGTCAAGCATCAATCGCAGATAATTAATCTATGTACAGAGCTTTAGATGTGCTGTCTTGTCTGGGCTTACACCTGAACCACAGTTAGCATCCCAGTTATCGACTAAGTCCCGGTATCCCTGCACAAGTTCGTACAGTGTGTCTAAGAAGTTTCGTCCAACTATCATTTCTTCTCCACCAGCTTAGACGGCAGAATGGTGGAACTGTGCTGTTATGATGCCGCATCGAAGGAAGTCAAGTATTTGATAACGCAAAAGCCGTTGCACCGGCTATTTCTAAAGTTTAACAGGCATATCAATAATCTTTAAGACCTGAAAATTTCTTAAAGTTTTTCCATCAACTCTCACCCATTGGCGCAGAAAAATTCATGAGAAACTATATGTTAATATCGGCTCTAGTCTCAAATTTAAATATATAAATATTAACGATTATAAATATAAGAACACTTACCTTTTTCCTTCCAACTTTTCTCCCCTCGCTTCAGGATATACTGCCACAAACGACGGACGATGATGATGAAAAAGATGACTGTGATGAATTGCGTGTTCCAGCACCACCCCGCCGCCTCAGCCGTAGTAGCATTGACTTACGCGACTTGGAGCAGGAACGTTACGAGAAGGTGACACATACTGACAGCGCACCCTCTATGATTGCACTGCACTATGCTGCACAACAACAACAAAATGGCGATGGCACCACCCTCAATCCACAAATATGGACGGATGGTCTAGCAGATATACAACAATCCGTTTATATCACCAAAAGATCCGCCTCCCCAATCGACTCAAAACACAATTCGCCGCATCACAGCTCTAGCCGCAAGCATTCCGACGATTTGCAGCAAAAAGGTTGTGATTCTGAGCAATACCAACAGGTGTTTGGCATGCTGAGCGATGACAGTGAGTCGAATGACTATTATGATAGCGTCATGCATTTGAAAGTTAAGCAGCAGCAACTACAAGCGCCAGCTACATGTCTGCCAATCGCAGAGGATAACAAAGAACTGAAACGCCTAATTGAAGACAACTATCTATACTTTAAAAAGCAAGCGGTTGGTGACGATTCTACGGAGCAGGAAAGTCATCAAGCATCAAGTAGTGGCAAATTTCCTGCACACAGCGAAACTGATTTTATTAAAATGAAGAACGGGCGCAATCGTAGTCGCAGTAGCGGCAGCAGCGAGGGCAGTGCCAAGAAACCATTTGCACTTAGCGACTCTGAGTTCCTTAAAACCATAGCTGATACTAGAAGTCGACGAAAACAACTGGAGTCACTTAAAGAGGGTGTTGTCAAGGAGGAGAAGACGAAAGAAAAGGAGAAGGGCTTCACTTTCAAGGGCTTGTTGGCGAAGACGAAACGCTCAAGCACCGAGTGTTTCTCGATCGAAAAGAAACGTCACCAAGCTAATTCTGAAGAGATACGCAGCAGTCGGGCACAACTCTTTCGACGCTCACGCAATCGCAAGCTGTCGCACAGCTACAATGGCGGTATGAGCCGTAAAAATGAGGTGCGCTCGCGCCAGCCCAGTGACACAGACTCCGAGGCGGGATTCGTATATTTTTCATTTACAATGGGCGAGAGTCAGGAGAGCTCCGCAACGCGCTACAACACGCCTGACATCTTGCTCGACATCAACGTGCTCAACGAACAAACGGACGATAGTTTGAAGGATAATGCATCAGTGCTAACGCATGAATTCGAAATATCCACCGCGCCGCACGTACACAACAGCTCGGTGCAACTCATCGACCTAGGCGAGTCGCAGGAGGTTGCTTTCAGCGGTTCAGATGATTTCTCGCAGTACACCGACTGCCTAACCGAGTCACCGCACATACCAACCACACCGCCACCATCACTGTCGCCTTCCTCACTAGCCGAACCCATAGTTCCTGAACAACTGCAACACCAGCAGCCCACACAACGCGCTGTTGAACTGCCGGAGAAAAGCAATATTCTCATTACCTCGCGCACAGACCTTGTGGAGCTTTTCCGCTCACTAAGTTTTCCCATCGCTGAGCTGGGACCCACAACCATCGACTCGCCGCATCGCAAATTTCACTCATCATCCAACTCCACCGAATCGAAGTCGGGCAAGTCAGCAAAACACATTAAACAGCGCCTAAGCACACTGAGCGATCAAGTTTTGGTGACGAAAAATAGCAACAATTTTCTTGTGTCCCCACCGCCAACACCCAATTTCAATTCTGCACAAAATCTACCCACAACAAAGTCAAATGTATACACTAGCGTGCCAAGTAACACGGTCAACGTATACTTCCTCTCGCCGCCACCCACAGCGACATTGCCACAATTCTCAAGCAGCTCGCCAACAAGCAACCCTTTTACCAGTGACACGTCCACTATATCCTTGGACGTGCTGACCGCGCTGCCAGTGCCGTCACCACAAAATCAGCAGATGCACGCAATATCGCAAATGCCGCAAAATAAATCGCCGAAGCCAGAAATCATACTTGACTCCACGCTCTCGCCCACCTCGTTGCACAGCGGCAACAAAGGCGATATCGACGGTGGCGATGGTTGTCTGCTGTCCGGGGAGGAAAAGGATTTAACTTCGCCATTGTTCAAACGTCACGACAGCGAAGCAGAAACCAACTTGATGACAACGGCGCAAGCAGGACGTCATCGCGGTAGCATATTGGCAGGTGGCGGCGGCGGTTGCGGCAGTGCCTATGACGGTAACGGCGGTCAATCGCTGCGTAAACGTCAAGCCTCAGTGGTGACGTACGATGTGAATGTCATAAATTTTTCACAGGAGAACAGCGATAGCCGCAGCTATTTACCTATGGCACGTGTATCGACCAGTTCGGCAAGTAAGTAACACACATGCAATACATTCGAAGTCACTATTTCTCGACAAATACTATGAGCACACCATTTGCCAACAATGCCATCAACAAACCGTCAATGCCATCAGCACTACCAACAACACCACCATAAACACAACAACCAGCATAGTAGCACTTGCTTGGCTAAGGTCGTAAGACCGGCTATTATAGACCATTGCCACTCATTTTCCAGCAAAAATCATTACATACAAATGTAGATACTCAAGCGAGTTTATAATTGCATCATGATGCGCATACATACATACGTGCATATACCTACACACACTTACATATATACTCATACATGCGTACATATAGTCAATGCATCCAAGTAATTGCGGCAATTAGACTGCGGGTTAAACTCCTAGTTCATGATACCTTGTGGGACTTTGTGTGTTGGTAACGCGCGCACTGGCCCTGCAGGGAAAGCTACCAGTTGTGAACCAGTATGATAACCGATTGCGTTTCAGCCCAACTAGTTCACGTTCTATCCATCCCCTTTTAATGTTAGCGTCTGGTATTTTTAACATGGCGGTGTCAATTGTCCGCTCCTGCATCAGCACGCTACCAGTAGAAATATTAGTTGACGGAATAGACTGCCTATTCATCCCCCGTGTAAAGCATAAGTACGCCATTTTGCTCGCGGCGCTGCAACAATGGCAATGGTCGACAGAGTAAAGCTTTGGCCCGCCAAATCAAGAGATCCGAGTTCGAATCTCAGTAAGCGATTTTTTTTATTTTTTTTATTAATTTTTTTTTATATCTCTTATTGTAATTTTTAAAATTATTGTTTTAAAAAGAACAAAAAATTATTTATTTTCATTTTTTTATAGTATTTTAGTATTTCGGTTTTTTCCAAATGAAATTAAATTTATGTAAAATTTTTATTTTATATTTAATTTAAATTGAAATAATTGACTTACTTTACTTTAACCACCCCAAGCGCACTCGAACTTGAAATCTTAGAACCAGAATCGGTACTCTTCACTCGACGCCACAGCCGACATTTGCGATAGAAGCAATTAACCGCATTTTAGTTTTGGTTGTGGCTAATCAAGACAGATGTCGCTGATCGCATAAGTTGTTCGAAATGTTGGCCGTCGCTTTGGCATATACTAGTTAATGAACTATTATTTATACTGGCTGGTTTGGCATTTCACTATCGAGTACTGTTATAATTATAGTCCATGACGAACTGGTGTGACTTTTAACCTTAAATAATTATTCATGAACTGAAATTTGTGCATACTGGTTCAGCTTTTCACTGCAGAGGGGTAGCCATGAGACATTCATATACATATACATACGTACATAAATATTTAGTACGTTTATTATGAATTCTCCTTGGCATTTGAATTTTCTATTGTTTATATACTCATTTGTGGCATTTTTAATTTATTGATTTGTTTTACTTTCGTTTATATATATATATATGGGTATGTATGCGTACATACATATAATCATACTATCAGTATTTTGTTGTTGCTGTTGTCGTAACATTCCTCACCTGTCTCACTGTCTGCTTTTTCATGTCGTGAATTCGTAAAGTGGCAAGACGTACATTAAATATGACCACTATGAAGTAAATGCGTGTATACAAATATACGTATAGTGCATATATACATATTTACATTAGGGGGACCCAGAACACAACGAGCGATATTTTCTGAAAAAAATCTTTTGAGATATGGGCACAAAATGGGTATTAAATACCACTGCACACCGGTCTTTGTGTCTGGCTTTAGAGAGGTGTGCTTCGGTGAAGTTCTTGGCTTATACTACGGGGATGTGCTTTAACAGGTTGTCGCTTATCCTCTTCAACAGCGTGTACAATATATTACATCGACAGATAATAATTGTCTCAGTAGTAGAACTCACTTGCACTGTTTCCACCAGAATGCTAGCAGAGATTATAGCCCAGAATGTATGTATATGATGAACATTTGTGCATCATTTCAGATCAGAATGTGAAAAAAACTACAAAATATGCAAAATTATCAGTTTCAAATCACTGGCAATATTTTGCTTAAAGTTTTAAACAAACATGTATCCTTAAGATAAGATGGGATACTGAAAAATTAAAAACCTATATTTAATGTATTTGAGCTTCAAATTTTTCATATGAGATTAGAAGTAATTTTTATAGCCAAAGTTTCAACTTCCAGGCAGCAAATATTGTCGTCATCCTACAGCAATAAAACTGTATAAATATACCTACATTAGGGCGGGTTAATTTTATTTTTACTATGCGTGTATAGCATAGGAGCATTCTACGTGTAACTCTAAGCAAATTTGCCGCAGAAGCCATAAGTCTAAAATCAATTTGGAGTTTGCCAAATTGCGAAAATAGGTTTCGTAGAAAATGTGAAAATTTTCTTTGTTGCGCCCTCTGGTGGAAGTTTTCAGAAAAATCTAATTGCAAAAATGGATTCGTCATGCCAAAAAAAAACACTTATAGCATGTTTTATAAAAAAATTTAAGCACTCCTTTACGACTCTACAGAAAAATGCTAAGAAACTTATTTTCGCAATTCGATTTAAGACCCATGGTTTCTTCGACAAATTTTCTTAGAAGTGCACGTAGAATCCTTCTATTCTGTACGCGCATGGTCGAAAAAAACTCCCAACAAATAAAGGATATGCAGGAATTTTGCTAAAATTAATTGTCCCCGACTGTACTAATGTATGTGTGTTAACATAGCTTTGTTCGTTGTCCCCATTATCGGTGACGCATTTGTCATTTGTCGTAAAGGAAGATAAAATTATTAACAAATGTAATTTTTGTATAAATACTGCAATTAAATAGCTTAAACCAGTTTAGTAGTAGAAAATTTACTGAAATACCTTATGACCCAGAAAACATTTGCATTAAGTAGACGATATGATATCACATTATAAATAATAGCTACAGTAAATTAGCTTGACTAAAATTCCGGATATAATCAGTTTTAAATCGGCCGCACAGGCTGAAAGCCCTTTAGTTGCTAGTGCCTTAGTACTTTAAGTTTATTTTAGTTATTATATTAACTGTAAATAATAATAAATGGGCTGCAGTAAAAGCCAAAAGTCCGATCTGCTGGACGATCCTCACATGGCCTGGGCGATAATCTCGTTCAAACCATTAAAGTCGCCGGGGACCGATGGCATCATGCCTGCGTACTGAGTGAGGACCGGGTACATTCCCGACGCTTTTAGGGTAGTCAATATTGCGTTCATCCCGAAGGCCGGAAAATGCTCTGATGTTTCTCCTAGAAAGTTTAGGCCTATCAGTGTGTCTTAGTTTTTCTAAAACCGCTAGAGAGACGGATAGACCTGTACATAACTATCTTTCAAGAGCTCAACATGCTTATTTCAAGGTCGATGGATACCACCCTGCACACATTGCTAATGTGATCAGAAGAAGCCTTCACGCAGTAGGGGCCTTCCTCGATATCGAGGGGAACTTCAACAATGTCACTCCAGAGGCAATAGTAAATACTATTATAATCTGGAGGTTGAAACCAACCTAATAGGGCTTATTTACAGCTTGCTTTGTCACATAGCTGTCGCGGCGAATTGGGTGAGTGTCTGCACTCAGTGCAGAGAGGGACTGGAAAAAATGGGATGTCGGGTCATCGCCTATGTAGATTATGTGGATCTTTTGGTAAAGGGACGATTTCTATACACCCTTTTTTTCTGCCTCATAGTTACCTGAAGCATGTAATTAGGTGGACAATCAACAGCGGCCTCGCAGTAAATCCCAGCAAAAGGGAACTGGTCTTGTTTACCGGGAAGTAAAAGATTCCCGTTGTGGCCCCTCCCTGGAGTGGACTTGTTCGTCTGCGGCTCTCAGACAGAGTCAAGTGCTTAGGCTTGATCCTGGGTAGGTAGCTTTCGTGGAAGCTAAAGAGCGAAGAAAGGATAAAAACGGCATTGGTTGTCTTGTACTGCTGTAGGGGAGCTATCGGTAAAAGTTAAGGTCTCTCGCCCAAAGTAATTCATTAGCTCTATGGAACCAGATTTAAGCTTATCTTTTTTCACGGAGCCCTTGTGTGACGCTTAACGTCATGATGAACATGCCGCCTGATGATATTGCAGACAGAATTGTAGCAGCACGAACTGCTATTAGGCTAAGGTAAACCGGGTGGTAACACTCTGGAGTTCTGCGGGGCTTTGACATTGTCCTGAACACATAGATTACAGCGCCTCCGAAATTCCTCCCAGAAGCTCCTTCTCTACCTATATTCCCTCAAGAGAGGACTGGATAGGGCGGGCTTACTAAGGCTTCCGGAATTCTGGAATGTCTTTCAGGTTAAAATAGCTGTCATCAAGGAAGCGGTAGACTCACTGCTAAAAAGTATGATGGTGGGCTAGAAATCGGTTAACGAATATCTGACTTCTTTATCCATCGCATCAGAGTACTTCTTAGGTACTTCTATCCCCAGATAAGGAGCAACTAAGGATGCCTCTGTCCTCTTAAGGTACACACTCTTGAACGGCTGGGCATAGTGTGAGCTCTATCTAACCTACCTAATAAAATGGACAAAAGAAAACGATTCTCCTTTTATGACATAAAAGAGGAAAAGGAAACATTTCTCCGCTGCAGCTAATGCTTTTGTAAGACACTTTAAAATAAAGGCGCCGAATACCACGTTACCTCTCAAGATTGATATTCACTGGGTACGGCTAGGAATTTCAACTTATCCCTTTCGTATCTGCTCTCAAGAGGAAGAGGAAGTGGAATCATCTCCACGATTTCTTTTAGACCCAAGTAAAATGCTTACCGTATCATTTTTCCGTTGAGTAACTTCTGTTAAAATTTAAATTTTTATTGGAAGCCCTTCATATCGTTCTACGTACAAATTAAAAACATCCACGAATTGGATGACCCCAAAAAGCATTAACAATTCTGCCAAAAAGCAGAGAAATCTAGTAATTTTAAATGAAAATGGTATCGTTCATGATCTGGTTAAGAGGTCGAAAAATGTAGGAAACCAGTTCAAAAAC